ATCTGCACGCACTCCATGAGGGGCAGCCGCACCGACTGGTTCCCGGAGAGGCTGACCACACATGCCGGGGTGTCGGGCGTGGCTTCCAGCAGCGCCATCACCGCCTCCATGCCCATTTTGCTGCTCTGCGTGGGGAGAAGGGCGGGGGGCCTTCAGGGGTTCGGCCCACCCCAACCACACACACACGCACACACACATACATGCACACTCACATGCACACAAATGCATGTATGCACACAGGCACACACGTACACACAGGCACACAGGCTCACACATGCGCACAGGCACACACGCACACAGGCACACATGTACACACATGCGCACAGGCACACGTGCACACGTACACACGTGCACAGGCACACGCACACAGGCACACGCGCACACAGGCACACAGGCACAGGCACACACACATGCGCACAGGCACATAGGCACACACGTACACAAAGGCAAACACACACATGCACACACACCCAAACCGGGCACACACACCCAAACCAGACACACATGCCCGGGCCTAGAGCAATGCCCCACCTACCAGGACCCGGTCAAACGCCGAGGGGGTCCCTCCTCTCTGCACGTGGCCCAGCACCGTCACACGAGTGTCGTAGCCCAGCCGCTGGACCACCAGCTGCTCAGAGGGAAAGAGAGTCAGGGCCCCCTCATCTGTCCTAGCGCACCGCCAGGACGCCAGGGTGTCGACCCCCAGGTCCCTCCCTCTCAGAGCCGGCCTGGGGTCCACGCCCACAGCCTGTGAGTGTGGGGTCAGAGGCAGAGGGGGCCGGGCCGGGCCCGGTCATTGGTTTGGCTGCTTTGGGCGAGGGAGGAGGGGCTGGGCTGCAGGCAGCACGTCCTGAATGAGGACAGGAACCGGAGGGTCAGGGCTCCATCGCTGTCTGGGCAGGGCACAGGTTCCGGCCAAAGCACAGGGCCTCTCGGGAGTGCGGCCGCGTCCACCCACACCTGCCTACCACTTGGGAGGAGGAGACATCTTGCAGTGCCCCAGCTCTGCGGCAGGGCTGACCCCCAAGGCTGCCCAGGACAAAGCACCTCTCCACAGGGTGCTGGAGCTGGGGTCTAACCACGTGGGGACCAAGCAGTGCCCCGCCCCGTGCCAGCACACTCACGTCCTTCACGTAGCTCGACGTGATGGGCTTCCCGTTGCGGTCAACAGCACCCTCGGCAATGATGATGATGTTCAGTCGGGACCCGCGGCTCCGCGTCTACACGGAAGACAAACCCCAGGGCTCAGCCAACCGCCCGTCACAGCCACCAGCTGCTCCAGAGCAGCCCCCACCCCCATCCCCCAGCACGGTCCTGGCCCTGCCCACTACAGCGCTCACTAGTCCATCGTCCTCCCAACCCACATGGCGAGGCGCAAAATCACCCCTCCTCTGCAGAGAGGACATGAGACCTAGGGGCCCAGGTCACCGCTGGTGGCTGGGGCTGAGGTCAGTCCACAGGACCAGGGGTGGGGGGAGTGATGAGCAGGGAAGGAGAAGGAACTTGGTGGATGCAGGCTGGGGGGCTCTTGGCCTCCCAGCCAGGGGTGTGGGGGACTGGAGAAGGGTACCCTTAGGGCTGGAGCCAAGGTAGACGGCTCAGTGGGACAGGGCCCAGATGGGGCAGGCCTGGAGAAGTCCCCTGTGCTCCCGGACCAGGGGCCTGAGCACCAGGGCGGGAGTGTTTGTGAGGGAAAGTGAGTGTGGCAGGAATAGGCGCTGGGTCCCGGAGCCATCGGGCCATGGCTAACTGGACAGTCCGGTCCCCCTGAGCCCCACCTCATGATGCTGGTCCTGGAAGCAGCCTCCCTCCCCGGCCCCTCCCCAGGCCTGTGGGCAGGGTCAGAGGAGGCACGTACATCACCCCCTGTACTTGTCCTGCACCATGGTCTCTGAGTGGGTATTATGTTCTCATCGTTGGCAATGCACTCCAACATTTCAAAGCCCAAGACTTCATGCAATAGTGCAACAAACATTTATGGGATCCACCCTGACCTGCAGACAGTCTGGGGCAGGGCAGCCCACCCAGGGGCAGGAACCACGGCAGGAGGGAGGCTCTCTGGAGAAGGAGGCGCTAGTGGCAGGGGTAGGCTCAGACACACCCAGCAATGGGGCCACATGTGGGGGAGAAAAGCCAGACCCTCCCTGAACCCCCTTGCTGGCAGCAGGCAGGGGGCGGGGTGGAGTGACACCATGTTATCAGGCGGAGAGACTGAGGCTCAGAGCAGCCCAGGGAGGTCTGAGCACCGTCCGTGCAGAGCACAGAGCCAGGGGGCGCTGACCCAGGTCCAGGCCGTTCCAGAGGACACTCATCACCTGGAAGGTCCCACCCGAGTTCAACAGTAAGTACGCCAAGGCCAGAGTATGCTGAGGTCAAGGTCAGCCAGGGTTACCAGAACCCAATCTGCCAGATCAAGGCCACACTGCAGCCGGGCCTCCAGGGTGACACAGCCCCACCCAGACTAGTGGCCAAGAGAGAACAGGGGCCTCCCAGGCCACAGCCTCTGGCCAGCCTCGCCCACTGGGCCCCACCTCCACCCTGCCCCTTCGCTTCCCATGAAGGTTCCGGGATCCGGGCCATAACCCTTGGCCCTGAACTGGACAGAGCTACACAGCCACAGGGAGGCAGTGCTGGCATCAACACCACCTCACAGCAACAGGCCACAGGGCAGACGGCCGGCCCCAGGTGGCCTGCTGACCCCAGGCTCATCCTGGGGTTGGGAGGCAGGCACTGTTCTCCCGACCCAGAAGACAGAGGGGCCCCAGGCTCTGAGCCTGGACTCCAGAAACAAAAGAAGAACACTAGAGCCTCTGGGGAGACAAAGGGACAGAGACCCGGAGAAGGCAGGGGAAAGAGGGCCACAGACACACAGAGACACATACACAGAGACACACACAGAGAGACATACACACAGAGACACATACAGACACACAGACATACACACAGAGACACAGACACACAGAGAGACATACACACAGAGACACAGACACACAGAGACATACACACAGAGACACAGACACTCAGAGAGACATACAGAGAGACATACAGAGACACATACAGATACACAGAGAGACATACAGAGACACAGACACACACAGAGAGACGTACACAGAGACATACACAGAGATACACACACAGACACACACATGCATGTGCGTGCGGCAACTGTGAGAGGGATGTTGGGCGGGGCGGGAGAAGAGGAAGCCCCCTTCCCTCTCTGCAGAGGCCCCCAGCATCCCCTTCAGCACCAGCCTGCCCGCCTGGCCCTGTGGTGTGAGCCTCCCCTTCGCCCCGCCCCCCCCACTTGCTCTCCCAGGGCCTTTGCTCTGGCGGTGCCTTCTGGCTCCTGACTTCCCCAGGGGAGCTCCCTCAAACCTCCCCTCCTCTGAGCCAGCCCTTCTGCCCGCCCTGCACTGCGCCTCACCTGCCTCATTTCTTCCCAGAGCACTCAGCCCACCCATCCCTGCTGGGTGAGCACTGACCAGCCCTGCCCCTCACTGTGTCCCCAACCGAAGGCCTGGCTGATGTGGACACTTTCCTCCAGCCATCGGGCCCTGGGCCCAGAGAGGCCCTTTGACACCCTTCAACACATGCTTCCCTCCACGCCCAACCCTTGTCCCCGTGGACGTGCCAGGACTGGAGGGCAGCCTGCCGGCACCAGCTGACACCTGCCTTAGACCGGGACAAGCTCAAAGCTGCCAAGGCTCCCAACTGCCCTCGGGAGAAAGTGGGAACCCTTCACTGGGTGGAGGAGCTGCCTGCAGCACCCCAGGCCCATCCTAACCCCGGGGCTCTGCTGGGGCCACCAGCCATGTCCCTGTCCACTCATCTTCACAAGGCCACCCCCACCATCCTCAGCTCAGTGGTCAAGACCCCCGGGAAGCCAGCCTGACCATGCTCCCTGCTTCTGGCCCCTCCTGGCACCCGTCCGAGCAGCTCTGACCACACGGAGAGAGAGGCCTGAGCCTGGGTCAGAGCCCCACTGCCTTCTGCCTCCTCCCTCACCCCCTCCCCCCAGCAGGACCAGTGGGGCGCCAACCCCTTTTATAAACCCACGCGTGAGCGAATGAACAGCAAAGCTGGCCACAGCCCCTTGGGCACTGCCCAGCAGACCAAGGGCAGGAGGCACCTGTGTCTCTGCTCCAGCGCATGCAGGCCCCCAGGAGGAACCCCGCGTCCACTCACCTCGCCGAGCCGCTCGCACATGAAGTTCTCCCAGCCATCCTCAGGGGGCGCCTCGGGGATGAACAGCCAGTCGGCTCCGGAGGCCAGCGCAGACACCAGGGCCAGGTACCTGGGGGTGGAGAGAGGCTGGGCAACCACAGGGAGGGCCCCACCCAGTCTGCACTGCCACCCCGCCCAGTCTGCACTGGGTGTGGCAGGGCCTCTCTGGGCCTGGGCCAGCACCGAGGACCCAGGCCCCAGTCACTGGGGTGCCCCCACCTCGCTGAGGAGGCATTCTGAGCTGCATCTTCTCAGTCCTTGTCCCCGTCACCCAGCCCCAGAGACAGGGCTCCACACACCCTTGTCCCACACACCCAGGAGCTCCCACCCCACCGTCCTTCACTCCTCCTCCCATGTTAAATGACTGCCTGCTACGTGCGGGTGCGGGGCAGAGCAGTGGATGGGACAGCAGACCCACAGTGTAACGCCCCTGCTCCTGCTCCCCAGAAGCCTGCCCTGGATTCCCCCCACTTCCGCTGACCAGTATATCCCCACCCCAGCCATGCGTCCTCAATGGCCAGGACACCCCCTTACCCGCAGTGACGCCCCATCACCTCCAGCACGAAGGTCCTCTGGTGGCTATCGAGGCAGAACAGAGCAAAAGGTATCAGTGCCTTCCTATGCCACGCCTGCCCGCCCGGCCATAACTCGCGGTGGGGTGGTCTGAGCGACATGCTGGACACAGGGCCCGGGTGAGGGACAGACAGGAATCCCCTTACACCCTGGAGGGCATCTCTAGGCTAAAGGACACCTTGGCCCCAACCGGCCCTCGGGCCAGTTCCGATTTAGCTTCTGTTCCTGTAGTAGAAAGCCATTCACCCACACTGGTCTGCTCATCCTGGCCAGTAGCCTGAGGACCCCTGCAGTCATACATCACCACCAGGGACAGGTGGGCAGCCGACAGAGCCGGGGACTCTGCAGAGGCCCCAAGGGAACCTGGCCAGAGGGTGGAGACAGACCCCGAGCCCTTCCCTCCCTCTGCTGGCGTCTCTCCCCGCTGAAGGACAAGGGCACTGGCTGGACACCGATGACACCGCAGTGCCGCCAGCATCCCCTGGCCGTCACTGCCCCAGGCCCTGCAGCGCGAGGCCCCCGTTGCTCAGGCACGGCAGGGGCCATGGCCATGCTGACCTCTGGGCAGTGGTAGTGATGGCATCGATGACCTCCATGATGCGGTGCAGGGCCGAGTCAGTGCCGATGGTCATGTCCGTGCCGCAGAAGTCATTGTCGATGGAGCCCACCAGCCCAGCAATGTTCAGGTGCGAGTAGGTCTGCGCCGTGCTCTCGGAGATCTTACCTGGGCAAGGGGACACACAGGAGGGTCGGCTGAGGTCCAGCCTGATCCAGCTCCTGCAGCCACCACACAGGGCAGAGACCCCACACGGCCAGCACAGGGCCCTCGGCCACAGGCCACTCAGCAGGTGGCCCAGCAGGTCCCCAGGAACCCCAGGCTCAGCTTCCTCCTCCCGGGAAGAGCCGGGTGCCCTCACGAGGTAGGTGGAACTCATCACCCTGACGGGACAACCCCAGGGGAGCCTCTGAGAGTGGGCTGCACCCCTTTTCTCCGTGTGCCCCACACAAGTGGCACAGGGGAGGGATGTCCCAAGTGGGTCCAAGAACATCCAAGAGGTGGCTTTCTGACTACTGACCTCGGGACTTTCAGCTGCAGAATGGGTTCCGGACCCCATCCAGAATGTTCTCAGAAACATTATAAACAAAACTTGTCAACACCAGCATAGAGGGGTGCTATGGGTTGAACTGTGTCTCCAAAAACGATGTGCTGAAGTCCTAACCCCTTGTTTGTGTATATGTGTATGTGCCCGTGTTTGGAAATAAGGACTTTGAGATTGTTATCAGCTAACATGAGCTCCTGCTGGAGCAGAGGGAGTCCTGATCCCATCTGAGTGGTGTCCTTAGGAAGAGAGGAGACGAGACACACACACACAGACACACACAGAAGGACAGCCGTGTCAAGATGCGCCCGCAGGCCAAGGAATACCTGTGGGTGCCAGAATTTGAAGAGACAAGGGAGGATCTTCCCCTAGAGACTCTGGGGGGAGCGTGACCCTGCCAACACTCTGCATTTGGAGTCACAGCCTCCAGCACTGAGACAATAAAGTCCTGTTGTTCTAGCCACCGGTCTGCAGTACTTTGTTACAGCAGCTCTAGAAGTCTCTTCCAAGGGTCCCCCTGGTGCTCCGGTCCCCGGGTCCTCTAAGGCTCTCGGAGGTGGGTGGCGGGCAGGTATTTATCTACACCAGTATCATTGCACTGCGCGATGAGAGAATGACCTACGTAATTTCCACTTGAAAAATTTAACTGAGGTGTGTGTTCTTTTCTTTTTAATATTCCATGGACGTTCTCTGCTTTCAGGGACCAAAAGAGGTGTGTCTGAATCTCCCTTTCCGAGGTCCAGTCTTGGTGTTTTCAAACACCACCTCCAAGCGTTTGGAGACGTCCGCTCACTGTTCATCTTCCTGGGGTGTTGGGTTGGTTGGTTTTTGAAGTTTGTAACTGGAGTAGCTTTGCTGCTTTTTAAAGACCAAAGTGCCTTTACAGAGTAGCTCAAAAGGCAGTACCATTTAGCAAATGTTTTCCTAACAAGTAACTAAGTATTTTAGCTTCAATCACATTAACCAAGAACTGCAGCCCACCCACGCCGGGGGCGGCCTGTTTCCTGTGGTCAGAGCCGCAGACAGGAGTCAGGGAGTGGACCCCACGCTCCTTCCCCAGAAACTGTCCCAGCTGGTGGTGCAGGACCAAGGACATCTGGACTGGGAGCTGCCGCCCAACCAGGCCAGCAGGGCGTCTGCCAGTCAGGGACCAAGGACACCCTGGCTGAGGGCTGGCACCCACCCAGGCCAACAGGGCGTCTGCCAGTCAGGGACCAAGGACACCC